GGAACATCAGTAAAAAAGAGAAAGCCCCGTAATGACATGAATTGACACACTGGCAGCAACAATGGGCTTAAACATGCCAACAATTGTAAGGATGGCCCAGGACTGGGCAGTGTTATGTTTTGTATAGGGTTGCTATGAGTTGGAACTGATTGGATGGCACCTAACAACAACAACAACAACAACAGTGTATATGAATAGGCATCTCATTGTGCTTTTGATTTGTATTTCCTTAACAACCTAGTGGAGTTCTGGCATGGCGCTGTGGGTTAATGCATCAGACTGCAAAGCTGTTTGAACTGCAAGGTTGGTGGTCAAAGCTGCTCCTCAGAAACTCTATACAAGGTCGCTGTGGGTCAGAACCAACTCGACAGCAATTAACAACAACAATCTAGTGATGCCAAGCATCTTTTCATGTGTGTATTGGCCATTTGTTTATCATCTTCGAAAAATATCTATTTAGATTACTTGCCCATTTTTTAAACTGGATTATTTATCTTTTTATTATTGAGTTGTTAGAATTACTTATATGTTGTGACTATAAGTCCCTTACCAGATACATGATTTGCAAATATTTTCCTCATATGAAGCTTGTCATTTTCATTTTCTTGATAGTGTCCTCTGAAGCACAAAAGTACTTAATTTGATAAAGACCGATATATCTTTATTCCTCAGGCTTTTTGTGTCTAATCATTTGCCACTGAGTTCTGTTTTCTTCTAAGAGTTTTATTGATTTAACTCTGACATTTAGTTTTTTGTTTTTTTTTGGTTTATTTTTTTTTTATATGGTGAGAGGTAGGGATCCAACTTCATTCTTTTGTTTGTGGATATGCCATTGTCCTTGCACTATTTGTTGAAAAGACCCATTGAATGTTCTCGATACCTTTGTCAAAAATAAGTTGACCATAAACACACACATGATTTTACTTCTGGAATTTCAGTTCTATTCCACTGGTGTATGTGTTTATCCTTGTGGCACTCGCATAGTATCTTGATTACTGTTGAAGGTTTGAGGAAGTGTGACTCCTCTCACTTAATTCATTTTCAAAATGGTTTTGACTATTTTGACTAGTCCCTTACAATTCCATAGTTCTTTTAGAATCAGTTTGTCAATTTCTACAAAGACATCATCAGCTATGATCTGATAGGGATTACTTTGAATCTATCGCTCAATTTGGGTAGTCTGACATCATAACAATATTATACCATCTGATCTATGATTATAGGATGTTTATTCCAATTTGATTTAGATCTTCTTTGATGTCTATCAGCATTATTTTGTCATTTTCAGAGTGTATGTTTTACACCTTTTGTTAAATTTATTTATAAATATTCTTTCTGATGCTGTTTTCTTTTCAGATTGTCCATTACAAGCAGATAAAAATATAATTGATTTTTGTATATTGATTTTATATCCTGAAACCAGGTTAAACTTTTTTCTTACTACTAATATTTCCTTAGTGGATTCCTTTGGTTTCTCTATAGACAAGATCATGGATATATATTGTCTACAAGCAGATAGCTTTACTTCTTCCTTTCCAATCTGGATACCTTCTATACCTCTTTCTTGCCTATTTTTCCTGCCTAAAACCTCTAGTACAATATTGATAGAGATGACAAGAATGGATATCCTTATCTTGTTCCTTATAGTAGGGAGAAAGTAGCCAGTCTTTCACCTTTAAGTCTGAGATTACTGTGGAGTCTTCATAAATGCCCCTCATCAAGTTGAGGAAATTCGCTTTTATTTTTTATTTATTCAGTGTTATCATGAAAGGCTGTTGACTTTTTGTCAAATACTTTTTCTGCATGTATTGATATGATCATGTGATTTTTATTTTTAATCTATTGATGGGATGTATTGCATTAATGGAGTCCTGGTGTGGTGCTATGGGTTAATGAGCTGGACTGCAAAGTCGTTTGAATCATAAGGTCAGAGGTTCAAGCTCACCAGTCATTCCTTGGAAACCTTATATAGGGTTGCTGTGGGTTGAAATAGACTCAACAGCATTTAACAACAATAACAACAGCATTGCATTAATAGATATCTGGGTGCTAAACCGACCTTGCCTTCTTGTGATAAATCCCACTTGACCCTGGTATATAATTCTTTATATATAAGTTGCTGGGTTTGACTTACTGATAATTTGTTGAGTGTTTTTCATCCATATATAACAGAAATAATAGTCTATAGTTCTCTTGTGGTGACTTTCTTTGGTTTCTTATGACAGTATTATTGGCCTCACTGAATGTGTTGGGAAGTGTTCCCTCCTCTTTTCTTATTTGAAAGAGTATTTTTTTAAAAATGGCATTGATCCTTCTTTAAATAGTTGGTAAAATTCAGTAGTTAAGCCACTTAGTCCTGGGCTTTTCTTTGTGGATCGTAGTTTTGATTACTAACTCAATCTCTTCACTTATTACAGGTCTAGCCAGATTTTCTATTTCTTCTTTAGTAAGTGTGATAGTTAAGGTTTTGTGTCAAGTTGGCTGAGTCAGGATTCTCGGTGGTTTGGCAGTTAATGTATGGTTATCACACCTATGATGAGGTCTGAGAGAACGCATTCATTGCCCCATGATGTGATCTGATGGGATCATCCGTGATCTGATGTCATTATCTTGGTGGTGGTGGTGTAGTTAGGTTCCAACTCATAGTGACCCTGTGCATAACAGATCAAAACACTGACCAGTCCTGCACCAGCCTTACAATTGTGCTTGAGCCCATTGCTGCTGCCACTGTGCCAAGTCATCTCCTTGGGGATCTTCCTCTTTTTCATTGACCTTCCACTTTACCAAGAATGCTGTCTTTCGCCAATCCTGATGCCATGTTCTTCTTCATATAATCCAGCTTCTGAGATTATTTGCTCAAAATATAGATTGAATAGATATGGTGAAAGAATACAACCCTGGCGCACACTTTTCCTGATTTTAAACAATTCGGCGTCCCAAAATTACTGCCTTTTGGTCTGTATAGCATACGTATTGTAAATTCTCACTTCTCTGATGTTAATGAGGCCAGATGCAATCTGGTTGTACCTTGAATCAATGTCTTTTTAGATATAAAAGGAGAGAGAAGTGAGCAGAGAAGGAGGGACCTTCTACCACCAAGAAAGGAGAGCTGGGAGTGGAGTGCTTTGGACCCGGGCCCCTGAACTCTGAAGCTCCTTGTTGTTGTTGTTAAGTGCCATGGAGTCTATTCCAACTCATAGCAAACCTTGTAGAGTTTCCGAGGAGCAGCTGGTGGGTTTGAACTGCCAGCCTTGTGGTTCGCAGTCCAGTGCTGATCCTACAGTGCCACGCCAGAGATCCGTGAGCCTCCTGGATCCAGGGAAAGATTGATATCAAGACTCATGGAGACCTCCAAGGAATGCTGGGCCTACAGATACTGAAAGGAGGCAAGGACCTTTCCTCAGAGCCGGTGTTCTGAATTCAAGACTTCTGTCCCCCCAAATTATGAGAAAATAATTTCTGCTTGTTAAAGCCATCCACTTGTTGTATTTCTGTTACAACAGCACTAGAGAACTCAGACAGACACTTGCAAAAGTTTGTATTTTTCAAGGAATTTGTGCATTTTATCTAAGTTGTTTAATTTAATGCCATATAATTATTGATAGTGGTAGTGATGGCATGCCACCAAGTCGGTTCCAACTCACAGCGTACCTGTATAGAGTTTCCAAAGCCGTAAATCTTTACAGGAGCAGAAAGCTTCAGCTTTTTCCTGCAGAGCAACTGGTAGATTCGAACAACTGACCTTGCAGTTAGCAGCCCAGCTCATAATCAATCCACTACGCTACCAGGGCTCCTTAATTATTGATAGAAATCCTTTCATTTCTGGGAGGATGGTCAGAGGTCTGGGCAGGCTCAATTCTGGTCTCAGCTTAAGGTGTCACAATTCAAAATCAGGATGTTGACTGAGCTGAATTCTCAGCAGAGGCTCTTAAAAACCTGCTTCTGGGCTTATTCAGGTTGTTGGCTGCATTTGGTTCTTGTGGTTGTAGGACTGAGGCCCCTGTGTCTTTGCTGGTTTTCAGGCAGGAGTCACTCAACTCCTAGAAGCTGTTCTCAAGTCCTTGCCCCAAGGTCCTCTCCATCCTAACCATGAACAGCCTCACTCATGTTGAGCTCCCTTCATGTTTCAAATCTCTCTGTCTTTCTTTTCTGTTACCAGCCTAAAAGATCCTCCTTGATTTTCAAGAGCTTATGTGAATAATTTAGGTCTACACAGATACTGAGGTCCTGGTGTGGCACTGTGGAATAATGCACTGGACCACAAGGTCAGTTTGAACTGCAAGGTCAGTGACCCTATACAGGGTCACTCTGAGTCGGTACTGACTCCATGGCACTTAACAACACACAGATAATGTGCCTTTTGAATAACTCAAGGCAATCGATTTGTAGCCTTAATTACATCTTCAAAATCACATGAGTGATACCCCATCATATTTACAGGACCTACGCACACTTAGGAGTCCTGGTGTGGTGCTGGAAGATAAGCACTGGACTGCTAACCACAAGGTTAGCAGTTCAAACCCACCAGCCACTCCTTGGAAACCCTATGCAGGGTCACTATGAGTCAGAACCGACTCCTTGGCACTTAACAATAACTCACTTAAAGGGGAGAAGGTTACCTAGAGCATATACATCAGGGGACAGGAATCTTGGGAGTCATCTAAGAATTCTGCATACCTCTATATACGTATATGTAATTTATAAAACAAAAAGTGTCTCCTGAAAGTTAGGGTTGGAAATCTAATCTTAGCAACCATTAAAGCCCTCAGCACACTCCTTCCTCCCTCCTGCTGGAGAGCGCGGATCACACAAGAGGATACATCAGAAATGAATGACCCTAAAATTTGTTTACCATTGTGAAAAGGCAAACAGCCATCACTCTGCACTTCTTGTGGCTGTTTGCTTGGCATAGTTGAGCAAAAGCAGCCCAGATCTTTTCAAGTACATTGGTCCAATGACAATTATTGAGTGGAATCTAACTCTGATTTTGTTGTTCATAGTATGACGTCATTGGACACTCTGGAGATGGATACAAGATTAGCCTAGTTCCAATGAACAAAATCCCGAAGGACAACAAACAAAGACTAGACATTCTGAAGGTAAAGTCACTCAATCACCTCCATATTCTGAAAACTTGTATCAGATTAGATAGCGCATCTCCTGGACACTGAAAAAGATCCACTGAAGAAGCAGCAGATAGAGGAAAGAGAAAGACTTTCTATCTTGCAAACATTCAAGCATTAAACTGAGAAAACACCCATCATGCCTAAGTACTTTTCTCTATTATATGCAATTTAATATTTGTTCACTAAATATTTTTGATTACTCAGTGTGGTATCCAGATTCTACAACATAGGTCCCTTCCTATGTCCTATACAATTCTTTTCATCCCATAGATGTTCCAATAAAAGGAAAAAATGATTCTTTCAGGTCCTGTCTAGCCCCCAAATTTAGTTTCTCAGCACTTTTCCTATAATAGAATGAATTTCTTATACTTAGATCTGCAACAAACATACCATAATTGTAAAGGAAGTCTTCTCCACTGCTGTTGATATGAACACTGTGTTTAATAATATAAACTGTGTGTTGGAACTTCAAGTCATGTTCGTATTTTTCTCCTGAGCCATCTCTGTCCTCCAGTAGTTATACCAAGTCTTAGGAAAGAAAGTCCAAAGTATTGCTACTAGGGCTCCAATTCATACAAGCATGGGTTTATTCCCAACAAGGTATGTTTAAACAGGTCTCTGTAATCAGTGGAGGCTGCAAACAAGTTCTCTTAGTCTTAGAGAACTTAGTCTCATTAGGTCTTAGTCTCATTAGGGTCTGAAAAAAGGTGTATAATCAAAGCTGTGGGTCTCAAAGAGGCCAGTTAAATTCAAGGCAAGAGGTCAGTTTAGAAGGTTATGGCAAATGTTTGGGAGATTATCAAAGGGATAACCTTGGTAGATTTTCTCAAAGGACACAGGATGATCACGGGGACTTATTAGGAAGATGTTTTAAGAAAATTGAAAACTACATTGATGAGAAAGTTGTGCTGAAGAATTTATTAATTTTTTTTTTCCATCACAAGGGCGGTCCTATAGAAATTTCCTTGGGAAACCTTACCCCATCCACCCTGCAATCCTGACCTTGGCCCCCATCAGACTTCATTTTGTTCCCCAAACTCAAAGAACATTGAGAAATACCACAGTTTAAATCCTTCCTTTGAGAATGCTTCAACTGCCACTTTGGCGTGTTGTAAATCCTAGTGCAGATTTCCTCAGGGAAGGCTTAGAGAGGGCAAATGCCACCTTCAGAAATATACAGACCTAGATGGAGGACATGCTGGAAAACAGTAGCTTCATATTTTCTTATTTTTGTTTAATGAAGGTTTCCATGATTTTTTTGATTATCCTCATGTGTTTTCTCAAAATTTCTCACTCTGAGTGGCAGCTTGAATTTAAAAATATGTACCAGCGGTGATAGTTTAGGAGTGCTTCCTGTTCTAATGAAAGTCTACACTAAGTACAAATATCACCACATACGTCACGCTACTGTGCAAATTAAATAGAGGTCATTCAGAGACTTGCTCTTCATGTGTAACTGTTGCTATTTGTGTATTCTCATGGTCAACAGAAAAATTGTCATGTTTCCTAAAAAGTTTCTCAACCATGGCTTTTGTGCCCCCAGACAATGCATGCGCATGCTCAGTTCTGCATGAGTGGGGACCACACACTTGAGGGGACAGAACATGCCATCAAGGAAATCACTAAAGAAGAGGCTGACGAATACTTTGTCATCGTCTTGAGTGACGCAAATCTGTCAAGATATGGGATACACCCTGACAGATTTGCCCAAATCCTGACAAGCAACCCACAAGTAAATGCGTTTGCCATTTTTATTGGCTCCTTAGGTGATCAAGCAACCAGGTAAGTGTCCTTTCAGGGTGTGATATCCACAGATACAAGGGGTGGGGATGTTTGGGAAAATGGAGGAGAAACTGGAACCGTTGCCACTTCCTCAAGTTGAGAGGATCTGATGGGTTAGTTTATGGCTGAATGAACAGTAATCATTTTCAATTTGTTAGTTTTCCTTTATATTTAAACCAGCAATAAAACAAACAACTAAATTGATTTGTCCACTAACAAATTTGATACACCTGGTACTTTAGATCAAGTTCCTGAACTCAGTTCTAAGTAGTCCATGGTCCAATCACATTCAAAGTAGCGAATGTCTACTCTTTTACTATATTAAGAGATGGTGTGTGTGTGTGTGTGTGTCCTTTCTTACCGGGAGACAGGCTTACTTTGAGACAATGTAAAACAGTATATACACACCATTAGGGATATTCTAAAAGAGATCTGGAAACACTTTCATTACTCAGACACATGACATTTATCTTTTGGAATTACAGACAGAAAGAGCTCGTGGATTTTCTCTGCATAAGATAACTGTAAGAATCAGAAAACACAGTGAAAGTAAAACTCTTTAAAAAAAAAAAAAAAAGTCCCCTGCCTAAACCACCAAAGGCCACGAGCCTTTGTATTATTCCCTCTCTTTTACCTGTTATAATTTATGGTTTAGAGTCCTGTAAAGGGACTGTGAAGTCCTTGTATGGTGCTGAGGGTCAATGCCCTGGACTGCAATGCCAATTTGAACCACAAGGCCAGTGGTTCAAGCTCACCAGCTGCTCCTTGGAAACCCTATACAGGGTCGGTACCTATGGGTGGGAGCACAACAAGGGGACTAGGAATTTTTTTTCATTTCCAAAATGCTTAACCATCCTCTTCCCCTTGCTTCAGGGCTGCAGAGTCAGGTTAAGAGCTTACTTAACATCATGTCATTCCGGTAGCTTTATTACAAACTGACTTTGCCTTTTTCCCAGTCCTCATGAATTAGCCTCTTCTGGAACCTCGGTGTCCTTGAGAACTCCAACCCAATCTTCTCTGCCCGGATTTCCTCAGCACCAGCCCAGGCCTAGGCAGATAGATGGCAAGCTCAGTGAATGTTAGTTGCACTGAAATGGCTGTTTTGTCTTTCTAGCGAACAGATCCTGTTTGCATACTTAAGAAAGCACAATAATACCCTTGTGGTTTCCTAGGGAAGTGGTCCAACACCCACTGGCAGAAGATAGATTGCAGAATTAGCTGGTCTACCGGGTATGCCAAATGTATGATAGGACACAGGATGGTGGACTTTTATTAAATGTCATTTCAAAACCAAACTTTGTTGGCACAATGAAAGGAGGCGTTCTTTTAGACAGAACTGTGTCTTGCAGCTATATTGCCTTCAGAAATGGCCCTTTGTTCCAAATGATAAATTGGCATTTCAAAAATTACCATAAGCCTATGTAACCTCAGTGTCATTGAAGCAGCAATTGGATAATACAGATTGCATGCCATATTGTGTAATGTGGAAAAAGAAAACAGGAATTTAAGAGAGAGAGACCCACTTGGAGTTTCGCGGGCAACCTTTTTGGAAGCCTGTTTTGTGCGGAAGGTAAAGCACTCAGAAGTGTAGTGTGAAGCTAACACGTTCACTAGGCCAAGGTGAGCTCATCCCAGATTGGTCCCTGGGCACTGTCCTACCCAGGAAATACAAAACACCAGGAAACGGCAGCCTGAAAAGGGAGAGAAATCTTTTCACATTGACTGATTTTCTCTCTGAAGAGATCCTTCCTTCAGTTCAATTTTCAACGAGTCCCCTCCCACTGCTCTTCCTAGCCTTCCGTTGCCTAGTGACAGCAAGGTATTAGAAAGTGAAAACTTCCTGTCCAATGAAACCACTCGGAGGACGCTGTGGTTTGCGGGGGGGG